CTTGATCAAAATGGATAGGACTGAGAAATTCTTTGCAATGTACCGACTTCTCACTGTGTCGATAACTCAATGCGTTAGCTGCTCAGAGCGCCGATAATTCATTGCGTCGACTACTCAGCGCACCGATAACTCAACGCGTTGAATACTCAGCGCACCAATAATTCAACGCATCGACTGATCAGCGCGTAGATCTCCCCACGCGTCGACTATTCAGCGCGTAGATCTCCCCACGCGTCGACTACTCCACGCGTCTACGCGTCGATTACTCAGCGCGTAGATCTCCCCACGCGTCGACTACTCCACGCGTCAACTACTCCACGCGTCAACTATTCCACGCGTCGACTAATCAGCGCATCAACTACTCCACGCGTCGACTAATCAGCGCATAGATCTCCCCACGCGTCAACTATTCAGCGCGTAGATCTCCCCACGCGTCGACTATTCAGCGCGTCGATAACCCAACGCGTCGACTACTCAGCGCATCCACTACTCAGCGCGCCGATAACTCAACGCGTCGACTACTCAGCGCGTCGATAGCCCAACGCGTCGACTACTCAGCGCGCCGATAACTCAACGCGTCGACTACTCAGCGCGTCGATAGCCCAACGCGTCGACTACTCAGCGCGCCGATAACTCAACGCGTCGACTACTCAGCGCGTCGATAGCCCAACGCGCCGACTACTCAGCGCACCGATTACTCGATGCGTAGATCCCTAAGCGCGTCGACTAGTCAACGCGCCGACTACTCAGCGCACCGATTATTCAACGCGTCGACCACTCAATGAATCAACTACTCAATAAACAGCATTCTACCCATGAATCGCCTCGACACTCACCGCCCGGAAATTGCGTCGATATCCAATTTTAATATCCAAGTAACCAGCTAACATAACTCGACGATAAAAAAGAAATATCGAGGAGAATTAAGTGGAGAGATGAGTAGAGTGAAGGGGATTTAAATTTTCCGGCATCGTCACGGTATTATCTTTAGCAGCGAGGGAAAACTTCGACGCAAACAGGCAATAATATTTGCTCTCAACCGCAAAGCATACCTTCCGTTAGTTAATTTTGATCCGTATCTACGGAGCGAACAGACGGAGACGCGATATTCGGGTTGCAGACATCGGAAAAGGAGGGAGAACGGAAGAGAAGGGTGAAAGTTTGCAGCAGCGTCGAGAAGGAATAAGAGGAAGAAAATCTCTAGTAATCCTCGAGGGGATAATCGGCACCGCGCTCCGCGTTTTTTCCCCTTAATTAACGGCTCATCGCAAACGCGGCTGATTACTTTTAATTAGCTTCCCGGAGGGAACGCTACAGAAGGGAGAACGAGTTTGTCATCTGATGCGATCATGTCAGATATGCTTCCGATAATCTACACGAAATTTCCGATATTTTCTGCATATCTTTATTACTGCAGTTTTTAACGTGTTTCGATATTCATTTTCCAACGTGCAAGAAATTTAAGTAACTCTGTTATTTCGTAGAAATTGAATACCTATTTTAATTTACTGAATGTTTATTCACTTTGAAAGGGAGTTAGGGTATTTTTATTGAGTGCTAGTTGTACTAGGTTTCTATTTTTAAATAAAATTGAGTGAATGTGTGACTTTTAATAAAATTGTAGTCAGTGAACCGCTTGGACACCCGATTATAACTGCGAATATTTTGGTTAATAAAAAAGAGATTATCAAATAAATTATGTAGTCTCGCACCCCATAAATCAAAATCACCGATTTGCATTTTGATTTGTATCGTGTGCCGCGAGTCCAGTTGGTTATTTGACCGAACGAGTTCATTTATCATTTGAATGAGCCAATAGGAGGAATCAATTTTAAATTACTCCATGCAAATTTTGTAGAAAAAATATTATGTACAATTAATCTTGTCTCCCCAATATTATTTCAGCAGTGTTCGCAGCTTCATATCGCGTTTCAATTTAATTAAGATGATTAAATAATATAAAGGTAAAATTCAATACGCTGAGCAGATATTTGCTAAAATCGCGATAAATTCATTAATTAAATCAGCAACTCCGAATTGTAATTTAAAGTTTGCATTTCATTTTAAGCGTATTTGATTTAGTTCGCATTTAATTTTCATTATATTCTGGTGTCCATTGTTTCTTTAATTATCTTTATTTAGAATTTCAATATTAAAATTTCTGTTCAATGACAGAGTCAAAGGCGCAATCAATTTCATGGCATCTGTTGTATCTAATAACGAATGATATGCTGAGCCTATTTTCGAAAATGTTGCGTCGTTTCGTGCATTCGACTCATTTCGACGGGAACAACGCGTGCATTTGATGCATCTGTTGCGTCGCTGCATGCACTGTCTGGATGCAACAAAATTCGTAACAAAGGGTATCGTTTGAATGCGCGTTTTTCATGCAGTCAGATGCATTCGTCCTGCAGGGAAATTTAGAAAACAGCCGCTCCGCGGAAACTACGACATTCTGCATACCATAATGAAAATCAAAAATAATTCGTTTCATCTACTGCTTTTTGCAAATTACTTCATTTGCATATTTTTATAGAAATTAATTTTATTATTTAATTATTAGTGTAAGATTCAAGAGTTATATGTTCAAATACTTGGAGAGATAGATCCTTAGATACACAAACTCTTAAATTACTGACTTTGCTAACTTTTAGAATTCATAAATATACAAATTGTCAGATAGTCAAATCCTTAAATTTTAGAATTGCAAAAAGGTCAAATGTCCAGATGTGCAGATACCCAAATGTTCAAATGTTCAAATGTCCAAATGTCTACATCTCCAAATGTCTACATCTCCAAATCTCCAAATCCTCAAATCCTCAAATCCGCTAATCACCAACTATAATCACCAAATAAAATGACCAAATCTCCAATCACCAAATCCCCAAATCCCAAGAACCCCTAACCCCACGAACCCCAAATCCCAAGGACTCCAAATCCCAAGAACCCCAAATCCTCAAATCTTCAAATTCTCAAATCCCCTAATCACCAAATCCCCAAATCTCAAGAACCCCTAACCCCAAGGACTCCAAATCCCAAGAAATCCTAACCCCAAGAACCCCAAATCTCAAGAACCCCAAATCCCCAAATCCCCAAATCCCCAAATCCCCAAATCCCAAGAACCCCAAATCCCCAAATTCCCAAATCCCCAAATCCCCAAATCCTCAAA